AAGTACTAAAACCAAAACTGTCAATCACCAAATGGACCAATGGACTGAGAAAACAGTTTTCATAATAAGAAATGCAAATGACCAATAATATATTTTTAAAAAGCATTCAGCATCCTTAGCCATCGGAGAAGCGGAAACTAAAATTGCTTTGGGATTCTGTCTCACCTAATGAGAATGGCTACCTTTAAGAAGACAAATGACCACAAATGCTAGCTGGGCTATGGGGAAAGGTCAACCTCTTGTCTCCTATTGGTGGGAGTGAAAAATAGTGCAATCACTGTGGAAACTAGTGTGAAGGCTTCTACAAATCTAAAATAGAACTACCATGTGACCCATCTATGCTGCTCTAGGTATACATCCAAAGGACTTTACATCCTATTACAGCAACATCTGCATGTCCATGTTCCTTGCTTTTCTTTTTATGGTATCAAGGAAGTAGGATCAGTCTAGATGCCTGTCAGCTGCTGCATTCATCTGATGTAAGGCGAATACATGGTGGAGTTTTATTTAGCTGTAAAGGAGAATGCAATTATGAATTTGCAGGAAACTCAGTGGCATTGGAAAAATAGTATATCAAGTGAGTTAACCGAGGCACAGAGAGACAAACGCTGTAGTTCCTCTCTTACATGTGGGTCCTGGCCTCTGATGGTAAATACGTGAATCGACACAGGTGTAGACGTGGGTAAAGCCCAGGGGATCAGAGAAGAGCCTTTGATACAGGGTGGGAGGGTTAATAAGGGGTGAGGAAGACAATAGAACACATGGGATCTTAAAGGGGAAAGGGGAATACTGGGGGTGAAAGGATACAGCAGGAGAAGGGAAGCAGGGAAATGGTGGGGGCTGGAGTTGGGGGGAGTCAACCAAAATGTAGTGTGTATGAAAATACCATAAGGAAACCTGTTACTTTAGAGGCAATTTTTTGATTAAAAAATAAAGTCATGTTCTCACAAGAAAAAGTAATATAAACCGACACGTGTATATTAGCTTTACTGTTGGTGTTGTGTAGCATTAACCAGCAAAGGAGAGAGGAAACAGAATTAAAGAAGAGACATAATGAAGTAATGAGCCATAGGACTGCAAGAGGCAAGAAAGAGTCAGCTATAAGAGACACTACTTAAGAAAAAATGGCACACCGGAACAGCGTCATGACCCTTAGGAGGAGGAAGGCAAAGGGGCTGTGGGAAGCCTGTGATCCTTAGAACATGGGGACACAATCAGCAGATGGGGAGGGGGTGGAGCTGGGTGGAGGATGAGCATCTTGTGGAGAAAGCCGCTTTGTAGATGGAAGGCCTGAGATTCTAGCTGTAAACTCAAGGGGACATGGAATCTGTGAGCATCTGGTACATATTTATGAAGAGACAAAATTATTTCATTTGCATGGATTCTTTTAAAGTTAGAAGGTGTTCAATTATTTTGAATTAACTTGACCTTTGAACCTCCCGATTTAGTTCTTTAGTGTTTACTATGAGAGGCTTCCATGTACCCGCCATGTCCATGCCTCTGCCGCCAGCTCGGCCAGGGAAGTGAACTGAAGCCATGACTTGTTCTAGCACAGGAACCTTCACACATCTTATCAGGATGGAGTGCCTCTGTGCTGGGAGATAATGTTAAAAACTTAAAAGAATACTCCAGAACACTCCTGGCCTTTTTATTCCAAAGATTTAGTTGGTTGGTTTTTGTTTGTTTGTTTTGTTTTTCTCTTTTAATCAACTGTGACCTTAGAAGTAATAGGCCATGTGTGGTGGTGCATTCCTGTAACCTTGACATTTAGGAAGTTAAGCCATGAGGGTTGTAAACTGTAGGCTAGCCTGGACTACATGGTAAGACACTGTTAAATTATAATATAAATTACATATTAACATGAAACATTTAAATAATAAAACAAGTGTTAGGATCCTGGAGAAGTCCCACAAAAGACCACCATCTGCATATGCAATCAGCATGCTGGGGCCATCCATCCTATAGAAAGGCAAAATGGCGATGACCGGAGAGGAGCTTGCAGGCTCCCTTTAAGCACAGCTAAGGGGCGTTCCTAGGGCAGTTAGGTCATCTCAGATATGATTGGCTTATGCAAGTGGCAATCATATTAGTATGTGCTAATTGGCTAGTGCTAGTTAGTGGCTGGTTAAGGCTACAGCTTTTCCATTTGGGGGCAGGACTGGACAAGTCCCAGGCTTTGTTCTTATTTGGTTATCACATTGAACTGTTATGGCTGAAGCCCCTGGTACATGCAGTGCCATGTACTTGCTGTTGGGGGTGTTGGAGATTGATTGTCCTTTGTCCATGGCTTCCTCAGAAACTACCTGATCAGTTCCAAGAAACAGGAAACACAGCCTAGTCTTTAACTGAGTTATTAGGGCAGGCTGTCATGATATTTGCCTGGCCCTCTCAACAAGGTAAAATTCATTAAGGAACTTTTAAGAACTCTGTGAAAGAGCCAAGCATGTTGGCTCATGTCCATAATTCCAACACTCAGGAGGCTGAGGATCATGAAGTTCTCTGTCTGTCTGGGCTACCTGGTAAAACCTCTGAGGCTGCACAATGTAACCCCTCCTCAACACAACAATAACTCAAGATGAACCCAGATAAAGAAATCATCAAGGAATTATCCCCGAGGTAATGTGTTGGAATCATGTGGGAAGATGTTTCAAAGGACTCTCCCATCTTTCTTGAAACAGGAGGACTCTGACATTCCTGATACTTACCATCTCATTCTGGACTGAACTCTAGTTCATGGAGAATTTCAAGAGTAGGAGTAGAGGGAAATTGTACTCCTATGAATCACAACATCGACACTCTAGAGTGTGGCTTCCTATGGGCTGGTGGGGGGCTGTGCTTGTAGTGATTTCCTTGCCCTTCACATAGTGTTGGAACACATCAGGTACCTTCAAACCTCACATGAAGGAACAAAGACTGTCCAACCAACAAATAGTTCATTCCCAAGAAAAGCAGAAATGTGCATGTTCCAGATGTTTCTCCCAAATTCATCGATCATGAGAGAGAGGGGCAAATCAGCAAGATTGCCCAACAGCACACGCATCATAGAAAGAAGCACTATCTATGGGGCTCCCATCCAACACTAGCTTCTAATTCACCTCTTTGGAACTGAGACTCTGAAGTGGATTATTGCGTATGTCTTAGACACCTGGGATTTCTTTTCAGTTCTTTGTTGTTTATTTGTTTGTTTTGATTGGCATCTCATTTTAGGTCAGTCTTACCTGAAACTTACTCTGTAGCTCAGGCTAGCCTCAAACTCACAAGTGTCTTTCTTCCTCAGTCTGCTAAGAGGTAGGATTGTAGGTTTCCGCTGTCTTGCCTGGTTATACCTTGGCTCTGGAGGCAGAGAACAAGGGATGGGACCTGAAGGCTGAGAACATGTCTTAGTCGCTCCGCTCTTGTGCACATTGAACACAACTTTAGAAACTAAGGCGCATGACCGAAGTCTGTTTTGAAAGCGTCAATTGGTTGTTCTGGTATGGAGGGCCACTTGGACCCTCATGACTTTATTCTGAGGATGGAGTTCCACAGGAGACCTTTAGATGCAGTCTACATCCCTCTGACATTTCTCATGGCAGTGGCATTATGGGAGATTTTGTTTCACCTGTATACTCTTGTTTTTATATAATCAGTGTAACACTATCCCAGGATAATCAGCTCTGAGATCACTGTCACTTGCCTGACAGGTGCAAGGTACCTAATCATGTGTTCGTTTCATTGGGGTAGGTAACTAACGAGCATGAAGCCTTGGGGGATTTTTTTTATATATATATAATCTCCAAGCTTGGCTGATTTTTATAATAACGTTTTTGAGCCTTTAATCACCCGGGAGGCTACTTCAATCAAACTATTTCCTTACTTTGATACTTCAGTCTGTGTTTTCCCCATCAAGAACTAAGTCCCTTTCCATAACCGTCTTTGCTGTGTGTTGGTTGTATCTATTAGAGCTTGTGATGGAAAACAAAGGCACCAAACAAATCACATTAGAGATCCCAAATAGAGGATGATTAAAATCATGCACAGTACCGAGTTATGCATGCTTATGGACTGAGTGCCTATGCAGCCTGGGCAATTCCAAAGATTTGATTAACTGGAATGATTTAGTTTTGATATGATGGTAGGTCTGTTATCTCATTCCTTTTAAAGAATTAAGAAAACATAAAAAGTACTTGGTGCATAACTCACCATTGTATATGTGTGTATGTATATATAAATTAATCTCACCAGCAACTAGATACTATAAATGCTTTAAAGATATGGAAAGTGTATGTTTTCATATTGATAGTGTGTATGTTTGGGTATGTGTATTGTGGGTGTGCTCATATATACACTTCTATGTGAAGGACATTTGTCATTCTCTAGCAGCTAGCCACCTTGGCTTTAGAGACAGGAGCACTCACTAGCCTGGCACTTACTTCTAGGTCAGTGAGCCCCAGGGACCCAGCTGTCTCCGTCTCCCAGCACTGGTCCTACAAACATAGCCCACCGTACCCCATGTTTGCACATGGACTCTGGAGAGTAAACTCAGGTCCTCAGGCTCATGAAGCAAGCCCTGATCACTGAGCCGTTGGCCCAGTTTGACGTTGATATATGTTATATTTATTAAACATTGCTCTAATTATCACATGTGTTGAACTAAAAGGTAACTGATTTTTATTTTTCTATACTGACCTAGTTATGAATATGAATCCTTTGTAAAAATAATTCAGAACCCCGGAAAGCTCCTCATAGGAGAAACTCAATTTTGAAACAGTTCTTTACTCCATCTCCTTTATGAACTGTGGGATGTGGTACCCACTCTTCATTATGCAGGGTTTTTTTTTGTTTTATAGCTTCTAGATCATTTTGGAAAGTTTCCTGTTTAGTATTACCTTTCAATCAAAACATCTTTCTCCTTTTACCAGTGAACAGCGTGAGGTGCAGGGTCTTGCCCATTTCTGCTTTCATTCTGAAGACTTGCACTCACAGTCCAAGCTCGAATAAGCTCAGGCATGATGATGGGAGGGACAGATTGGCCTCTGGCGTCACTGTGTCTTCCTTGGTCATCAGCCCCTGAGGTGCCTTAGATGGCATGGAAACCGCTTCCCAGTTACTGCACTGCGATCTTGGAAGCAAGAAAAAGAAATTAATGTTGAAAACAACTTACCATCCTTTAATGGTTCTTTAGACTTGAGGTTCTCTGCTGTTTAGGTGATAAACATCAGCCATCTTATGCTCCCTCACTCACTCCAGCAACCCTTTAAACAAAGGATGAAGTCCTCAGTCCCATTCTTTGCATTTGTGTTCCTGGCCCAGTGACTGAATTTCCTAAAAGATCCCACTGAGGACTTGAACTTACAGATCAACCCCATTCATTTAAAGAAAGAAGGAAGGAATTGGACTTCAGCCTCATAGGGAGAAATAAGTGTCGTTTTTTATGGATGGTGCCACCATTTAATAGTGTAAGTTACGAGCACACACTCTGTGCAAGTAGCACGTGCTAACCAATTGTGCCACTGGCACTTGAAGCACACACTCTGGATATCTCCTCATCAGTATGTAAAGCAGAAACCATGTAATAGGTATTTCTTAGCAACAAATTTCAGGGTATCTCCCCTCCTCCGGAAGTTTTATTAAAGTAAAAGATATGTGTTGAGTCCAGGGGGGCCTTAAAGCATTGTTTATTACATGAGAATTTATTCTATGGTAATCTAGGGGCAGTTTTAAAGTCTCCTTCCCTAAAACAAGCTGAGACAATTCCCAGAATTTTTTTAATGTAGACAGTTAATTTACTTTAAATATTGAATGAGCTCATGATCAGCAACTGTACTGACGTGGTTTCTCATTTTTTTTTTTCCTGTTCCCTAGGTTCATCGGGACAGCTCTGTGCAGTCTGATATCTCTGGGAAGCTCCTCGGCAGTCCGTCTTATACAGAATCCTCGTCAGAAATGGCAGTACAGGCACTAAACAAAGAACTCTGCTTTCAGTGGTATATGCCTCCCCTGGACAAACCTCCGAAGGATACGGAACCCATGGTACACACACACCGATAGAGTTCAATATTCCATTCAGAGATAAGGCTTAGCACACTCCAGCTAAAGCAGTAGTGGGGATCATTCCCTTGACGATGATGGAGCAGTGATTCAGATTCTAGGGGCGTCTTGAAAATGGGTCAGGCTTTGAAAAGTAGAACAGTTGGTCAATATAACCTTTTACGAGAGACCTTCTACTGTAGACTTTCTCCAATGATTGCTTTCTCTAAGAAGAGCCTCAGGCATTTTCCCATAGAATGCTAGCCTTAGGGGTTTTCTTAGGGGTCTGGCATCTGCATTTGGTTTTTGTCTCTCACATTGGTCTCCTTTTGCACTCTCTAGCACCTACGTTCTGTCCCCTCCAGCACTGCCTCTGGTAGCTTCTGCACCTCCTTGACTCACATGACCTCTGTCAAATCAGAAACCTCTCAGGCCCATCCTTTTTTTTTTTTTTTTTTTTTACTCTCCACCCTCCCTCTCCTGTAATTGGTCAATTAGACAGCGTTCCCTATTCCGACAAAAAGAGATTTACCGTATCACTTCGCAGCTCTATTTAAAGCTGTGTCCTACCTTTTAAAGCAAGCCATCCCTGTTATCTACAGGTGATTGCTTCCTGGATTTTCCAAAGATACCAGAATCCATGGATGCTCAAGTCTCTTTACTAAAATGACATAATTGCATATGACCCACATACACACTTGTGTGCACTTCCAGTCATTTCTGCATTAGATATACCATCCAATACAAAGGAAATGTGTGCACAGTTACTGTGCTGTATTATGTTGGAAATAATGACAAGACAGAGTCTTTGCATGTTCAGCAGACCCAACAAAAAAATGTTTTCCATCTGTAGGTGGTTGAATTTGTAAATGTAGGAGCCCATGGCTATGGAGGGCTGTCCACACCATCTCTTCCCCTCTTTCCTAGTCAAATCCTTGCCTAACTTTTACAATAGTGTATCTATCATATCTTTCAGGGAAATTCACTATAGTGGTTTTCAAATTGTGGTTCCCCAAATATTAATAGGTGAGAGGGTCAATACAAGTGGGTCATGAGTAGCACCGAGAGTGTGTGTACATGTGTATGTACATGTGTGTGTACACTGCATGCATGTGAGAGGAGACCAGAAAATGGCATCATGTCTTCCTCTGTTGTTACCTTGAGAACAAGTGTTTTGGCACTTGCCTGGCTAGTGAGCTCCTGGATCTATCAGTCTCTGCTTCTCTAACACTGTGGCCTCAAGAGCATGCAGCTGCACCAGGATTTTTATGTGTGTGCTGGGTGTTCACATCTGGATCCTCTCTCTCTTTTCCTATTGAGCCAATCTCTCTATCTCAAAAGTAGCACTTTTAAAAAAGAAATAAGATACAAGCCAAAAAAAGTGAATATCACATATCAGTAAAAAAGGCTTTGTGAAATTTTATTTCATGATAAATGTTGTTAAAGACAGAATTTCATAGATTGATCATCATGTATCAGAATGTACTTACTTGTAGAAAAGCCAACAAAAAAAATTTAAGTTCAAGGGTTTGGAGGGTTTATAGTGGGGAAACAGAATGTTTATCTAAGCACTAGTCTTTGAAAATTAAAAGTATGTTCATGTCACCAGACTGTACAGCCACCATATCATGTCGGTTACGGGGAGGGCAGACTGGTGCAGGATGACCTGGATGTCCTTGTGTTGATGTCAGATGAAAGGAGTCATTCTCTAGGAATCAGATGCTGAGACTTCAGCCCTGGCATCACCAGGGTAACAAGGTTCCATCCGCAAACAACCATGTCTGACAATGAACAAGGGCTCCATGGACTGATGTCAGCAGGTTGGATGGAGAGCCCCAACCACCAATTCTGATTTAAGGGGGATAATTTTTCTCAAGGCACAAGAAAACAGGCAGAGCACAGCTTCCCTTTCTTACCTTGGGTCCATTTTTCTTTCTTTAGGGGTGAACATGTATATATGTATGTGCATGTTTCACAATAAAAGATGTAGTGGCTGCCAAAAGGTGTCACTAAGAAACATTTGCTTAGATGATTATGTCTTCTCAGATCCCACATTCCTACCTTTTTGGAAGATATTTCTGACAGTTGCTTGATTATTCTAGATATTTGTATCTCTGTGCATTCGACTACTTATTATTTTTGTGTGTTCATATAGAGTTGGGTATCAGGTAACTAGCCACTGAGACTCAGAAAACCCTAGATGATAACCACACTGAGCACTGTACCGAGCTGGGTGCATGGCAGCCATTTTGTTTCTATTAGCTTGACAGCAGCTATATGAGAGAGGTGAGATCACTGGCCCCATTTCTCAGAAGAGGAGACTGAGGCCAAGAATGGAGGACATCCAGGTGGCAAGGGCACAGACTGGAGCCATGTGACTCCAGAGGATATCTGCCTAAGTAAGCAAGAGACACACTAATTCCTCGGACGGCATCTGCAGGTGCTCTGAGTCTCAGGCAAGACGAAGAGAATCGCATCTCTGATTTAGCCCTTCAGACATTCCAGGGACTCTAAAGGGCATTTGCATGCCATGGTAAATTCATGTCACCCCGTCCATTCCCGTTTACTGACTACTTAGAAGCAGAAATTCCAATAGGAGCCAAGGATGCTGGGCTCAGTAGAGTCAAAATCCCAGCATTTGGGAGATTTAGAAAGGAAGGTTGTTTTTTTGTTTTTTTTTTTTAAAAGAATTCAGAGAGATAAATGTCTCTAGGTAATGAACTTCAGAACTAAGTTCAAGTTTGTAACTTAGAAAATCTTAACTTCCTAAATACACGAAGCAGAAATCAGACTATCCTATCTTTAGTAGAACATAACAGAACCACACAAGAGTAACCTGTTAGATCTTTGCTACAATTAATTAACTCTCAAACAATTTTAATATCCTGCCGAGACAGGAACTAAATGACCACTGGAGACATAAATCAAAGGAACATCCCAGATTGAAGAATGCTGCTTTCAGCCAGACCAACAAGCATAGCTCGGCTATGAAAACATGCATCCAGAGGCAAAGGGTTCATGACTTAGCTTTGTCTCAAGGTTATTCCTGAGAGCCTCGATCTTTACCCTGCCCCATCTGCCTGCCACTTTTAACAACCAGGGTTCTGCGATGTGGTTCCAGATGAGGTCTGAATTACATTTATAAGGTGGTTAGCTTCAAGGTATGCATTCATCGGGAGTGATGGCTGACAGAGATGCGTGGGTTAGTTTATTGTTGACTTGATACAAGCTAGAGTCATTTGGGAAGTGGGGATGTCAATTGAGGAATTGCCTCCATCAGATGGTCCTGTAAGTCTGTGGGGACATTCTCTTTTATTAATGATTAATGCGGTGGGCTCTATTCACTGTGGCTGGTGCCACCCTTAGGCAGATGGTTCTGGGTGTATAAGCAAGCAAGTTGAGGATGCTGCAGGAGGCAAGTCAGTAAGTAGTACCCCTCTATGGCTTCTGTTTCAGTTCCTGCCTCCAAGTTCCTGCTTGAGTTCCTGCCCTGGCTTCCCTCAGTGAGAGTATGGTGTTGAAGTATAAGCCAGAGAAGTCCTTTGTCCTTTAGGTTTCTTTTGGTCATGGTATTTATCATAGCAAGGAAAGGCTAAGTAGGACAAGATGGTTGATGGCTAACCTTTCTATGGGCATCGAGACCTAATTTGGTCTCCTACCTTGCCTCAAAAGCCATCATAGTGTTATATGTGGCTGCACAGTCTAAGGCCTGGTGTCTTGAGGCCACAGAAGATGCAAACCGACGAGCAAGACTACATTCAGGAAGTCTGATCACACAAAACACTGAACACTGGGCAGAAAGACTCCATCTGACTAGTGAAAACAACTTTGGACAGAAATGAATCCTCAAGATGTTTAATTAGTACAGGATTTGAGCTATGCTAGGGGCAAGAGATATGGGGCCCCGTGCCTTCTTGGAGGTCTTTATGTCTTTGAAAAGACCTAGAATCTTCCTAGGCTGTGTTTTCTAGACCAGCTCAGTCTAGCAGGATAGCAAGGGAAGAGCTAGGCTACCCATAGTTAGTGCCTGGAGTGTTATAGGAATCATATGACTGCCCAGGACTTTCCTCTCAGTTGTCTCTAGATTTGGAGTCTTGATTGAATCTAGCTCCTGGTCCTCCTGCAGATGTAGGTGTATACTATAAGCCAGTAGTATAGTAGGTGTATACTATAGCTACTAGGTGTGTGCAATAAGCCAGTAGTATACTAAGTGTATACTATAGCTATGAGGTGTGTTCTATAAGCCAATCCCAAGGAATGGGATGGTCATATCTTCAGTTTACTAACAAGGAGCCAGAGACATTGATGTTTAAACAAGTTGCTCAAGATCACAAAGATACTAAGTAGGGGAGGCCCAAGCAGACACACTGCTCCATGCTCATTGTGGCTACAAGTGTGTTTAGGATTTGAGGACGTGATGTTCTGATCTCACAGTGTCCCTTATTCGCCGACTTCAGCAGTTGGTACCAAGCTCAGGTAGAACAAGCTTTGAACCTGTACACAAGCTGCAGACAGCTGTTGGCACAGTGAGGAAGAAAGCCTCTTGCATGAATCTGAAGCGTGCATCTGATACAGACTTTCTATTCATACACTTTCGGGAATGTCAGAGTTACCGTTCCCATTGCTGCGAAGAGACACCTCGGCCATGGCAACCCTTATAAAGGAAAACTTTAACTGGGGCTGGCTTATAGCTCAAAGGTTTAGTCCATTATCATCATGGTGGGAAGCGAGGCAACATGCAGGCAGACATGGTGCTGGAGAAGGAGTTACATCTTGAACCACTCCCACCCCCAACCCCACATCGCAGGCAACAGGAAGTAGTCTGTCTCACTGTGTGTAGTGTGAGCATAGGAGACCTCAAAGCCCACCCCCCACAGTGACACACTTCCTCCAACAAGGCCAAACTTCCCATTAGTGCCACTCCCTTTGGGGGCTATTTTCTTTCAAAGCACTACAGGGAACTTCATTGACCCTATCAGACATGATGGAAAGTTCAGAGACAT